AACCAAAAGCGAGAGGGAAATGCAAGAGGATTATCATCTAAACCAGGGGTAAATGGCATCGTGGCTCCAGTGTAACGCACAATAATGGCCTTCTTGCCGTTTTCAGACATCCGCTTGTAAAGACGTTCCAACACGGAGGTTTTACCACATGAGTGACCCGCCTCTACAAAATGCACCGGTTTAACGGCAGAGGGCGGGATGGAGTAGCAGTTCAATACGGAGGTGAGACGATCCTCCACAAGTTTTGCCGTCCCAAAGAGTTGCTGCAAACCAAGCGCTTCTGCCGCATTGAAGCCATGACGAAATTCATCGGCTCCCCTGAAGGTGTCAAAAAGTGTCGTGCGTGCCACACGGATGGTGTGTCGCTTCAGACGATGCAATAAAGAGAAATACTCGTTCTGCACTGTGTCTTCTGTCCACGATGTGGAGGAGGGTGGGGGAGGTGGCTGCGGATGTCCAGGCCACTCACCAAGCTTAACATTATAATTGGCCGTACCTGCCAAAAAGACTCCGCTTGTTAGTGTGGGGGCAGCTACATTCATAGAGGAGTTGGGTGTAGTCCCCGGCGTGTGAGCATCGGGCCCGCCAGATGATAAAATGTCTAAATCATTTCTATCTAAATCATCCGCCTCCTGTTCCCCGGTGCTATGAAAGACAAAATAACGTACAGGCAGATTTCTTAGCTGCAATACGGACGCCGCCTGCCTCAATAATCCAGGAATCCGTTCTAAAGCTAAAAAACCATGATCACGTAATGAATGGAGTTCTTTTGGCATGCTAGGGGCTCGCGCTTCCAATACCTTTAGTATGGCTTCATTGAGGGTGGCGTACGCCTTTTCACGAATCTCTGCTTCAGCTTGGCTATCAAGCACCACCTTCCCTGTCGTATTGCCACCATGATCGGCATGTCGTTGAGCTATGTATTCTTTTCGTACACTTGCCAACACCTTTCTTGCAAGGCTGTAATAATGTTCCAGGGTACAGACATGTCCGGGACTCATGGAAGATGATGTGGTATCCATAGCAGCAATTGCAGCAGCTTGCTCTGCGATGGCTTCATTCGCATTTTCCGTCCCC